TCCCCACCGGACTCCGCGCCTGGGCTCAGCCATCTCGGCGGCCTCCGGGCCCGCACAGGCCGACCTCCGCTGCCCTCAGGATCCGCAGCACCCGCCAGGGCCGGTCCAAGTTGCGCCCGCAGCCAGTCCACGCCACGTCCTCGAGCTGCCGACCGGATCCCCTCCAACAGCTTCTCCATGTCGTCCATCGACCCTGCAGAAGGAGAGAAAAACAAAGGCCCACCAAGCCAAATCCGTGGACACAGGAGTGCACACAAACTCGGCAAGGTAGTAATTAAAAGTGAAAGATTTAAAATGGCTGCCTATTTAAATAGCCAAGCCTACTTACCCATAACTCCATACTTCCTTCCCTCCTCCTATGCCCGCCTCCTAACCCCTATCAAGGCCTTTTTCCGCTTAGCTGCGCTTTGGCTACATGGGGCTACAGTATGAATGTATGTCTGCATATCATTATGAACGTATGTCTGTGTGTATGTGTGTATGGATGTATATATGCATGTATGTCAGCAGTGACGTCGCTGGGGTTGGGGGCAGAGGGGGCCATGGCTCCCCCTACATCATGCTGTGCCCCCCCTTGGGCTGCCCCAATTGCCAGCAACATGTTCTTGCATTATATTCCCTCGGGCTGTAACAGTGTGTGAGTGTGTGACAAAGCGGGGGAGGGAATGCAGGGCAGAGAATGCTGGGGGCTATCTGTGGCCGGAGGCTGGAGGGATGGTGCTGGGGGCTGTCTGTGGCTTACAGCCTCCCCTGCAAGGCCCCGCCCCCAAACCAAGCCCACCTCCTGCACATAAGCCACGCCCCGCCTTTAAGCAGCAGACCATGCTGCTGCTGGAAAGGCAAGAAGATGACTGTCTGACCCCCAGCAACAGGTAGGCTGGATATGCTAAGGTGTGTGTGTCTGTCTGCTAGTGAGGAAGCTTGTGTGTGCGCGTGTGTGTGTGTGTGTGTCTGTATGTGTGTATGTGTGTATGGACTCAGCAATCTGTCTGTGTGTATGGACTCAGCAGTCTGTGTATGTATGGACTCAGCAGTCTGTGTGTGTGTATGGGACTCAGCAGTCTGCATGTGTGTATGGACTCAGCAGTCTGTGTTTGTGTGTGTAAGTTTGTATGGACTCAGCAGTCTGTGTGTTTGTGTGTGTGTATGGACTCAGCAGTGTGTGTGTTTATGGACTCAGCAGTCTGTGTGTGTGTGTGTGTGTGTATGGACTCAGCAGTCTCTGTGTGTTTGTGTGTGTGTTGACTCAACAGTCTGTGTGTGTGTGTGTGTGTGTGTGTGTTTGGACTCAGCAGTCTCTCTGTGTGTATGGACTCAGCAGTCTGTGTGTGTGGACTCAGCAGTCTGTCTGTGTGTGTATGGACTCAGCAGTCTGTCTGTGTGTATGGACTCAGCAGTCTGTATGTGTGTATGAACTCAGCAGTGTGTGTGTGTGGACTCAGCAGTCTGTCTGTGTGTATGGACTCAGCAGTCTGTATGTGTGTATGAACTCAGCAGTGTGTGTGGGTATAGACTCAGCAGTCTGTCTGTGTATGGACTCAGTAGTCTGTATGTGTGTATGAACTCAGCAGTGTGTGTGGGTATGGACTCAGCAGTCTGTCTGTGTGTATGGACTAAGCAGTCTGTATATGTGTATGAACTCAGCAGTGTGTGTGTATGGACTAAGCAGTCTGTATGTGGGTATGGACTCAGCAGTGTGTGTATGGACTCAGCACTGTGTGTGTATGACTCAGCAGTCTGTATGTGTGTATGGACTCAGGAGTCTGTGTTTGTTTGTGTATGTGTATGTGTGTATGGACTCAGCAGTCTGTGTGTTTGTGTGTGTTTATGGACTCAGCAGTGTGTGTGTATGGACTCAGCAGTCTGTGTGTCTGGACTCAGCCGTCTGTGTGTGTGTATGGACTCAGCAGTCTGTGTGTGAATGTGTATGGACTCAGCAGTCTGTGTCTGTGTTTGTATTGACTCAGCAGTCTGTGTGTGTGTAAGGACTCAGCAGTCTCTTTGTGTGTGTGTGTGTGTGTGTGTGTATGGACTCAGCAGTCTGTGTATGTGGGTGTATGGACTCAGCAGTCTGTGTGTGTGTGTGTGTGTGTGTGTGTGGACTCAGCAGTCTTTGTGTGTGTGTGTGTGTGTGTGGACTCAGAAGTTTGTGTGTATGGACTCAGAAGTATGTGTGTGTGTGTGGACTCAGCAGTCTATGTGTCTGTGTTTGTATGGACTGTGTGTCTGTGTGTGTGTGTGTATGGTCAGCAGTCTGTGTGTCTCTGTGTGTAAGGACTCAGCAGTCTGTGTGTCTCTGTGTGTATGGACTCAGCAGTCTTTGTGTGTGTGTGTGTGTGTGTGGACTCAGAAGTTTGTGTGTATGGACTCAGAAGTATGTGTGTGTGTGTGGACTCAGCAGTCTATGTGTCTGTGTTTGTATGGACTGTGTGTCTGTGTGTGTGTGTGTGTATGGTCAGCAGTCTGTGTGTCTCTGTGTGTATGAACTCAGCAGTGTGTGTGGGTATAGACTCAGCAGTCTGTCTGTGTATGGACTCAGTAGTCTGTATGTGTGTATGAACTCAGCAGTGTGTGTGGGTATGGACTCAGCAGTCTGTCTGTGTGTATGGACTAAGCAGTCTGTATATGTGTATGAACTCAGCAGTGTGTGTGTATGGACTAAGCAGTCTGTATGTGGGTATGGACTCAGCAGTGTGTGTATGGACTCAGCACTGTGTGTGTATGACTCAGCAGTCTGTATGTGTGTATGGACTCAGGAGTCTGTGTTTGTTTGTGTATGTGTATGTGTGTATGGACTCAGCAGTCTGTGTGTTTGTGTGTGTTTATGGACTCAGCAGTGTGTGTGTATGGACTCAGCAGTCTGTGTGTCTGGACTCAGCCGTCTGTGTGTGTGTATGGACTCAGCAGTCTGTGTGTGAATGTGTATGGACTCAGCAGTCTGTGTCTGTGTTTGTATGGACTCAGCAGTCTGTGTGTGTGTAAGGACTCAGCAGTCTCTTTGTGTGTGTGTGTGTGTGTGTGTGTGTGTGTGTGTATGGACTCAGCAGTCTGTGTTTGTGTCTGTGTGTGTATGGACTCAGCAGTATTTGTATGTGTGTGTGTGTGTGTATGACTCAGCAGTCTGTGTGTGTGTGTGTGTATGGACTCAGCAGTCTTTGTGTGTGTGTGTGTGTGTGTGGACTCAGAAGTTTGTGTGTATGGACTCAGAAGTATGTGTGTGTGTGTGGACTCAGCAGTCTATGTGTCTGTGTTTGTATGGACTGTGTCTGTGTGTGTGTGTGTATGGTCAGCAGTCTGTGTGTCTCTGTGTGTAAGGACTCAGCAGTCTGTGTGTCTCTGTGTGTAAGGACTCAGCAGTCTGTGTGTGTGTATGAATTGTATCAATGGAAATGTGTTTGTTTTTTAATAATCCTTGGTGGACTATAATGAATTCTCCACCAGGGATTATAAAAGACAAACAAAAAAAAAACACATTGTGTCGGGGGCGGGTTTAACATGCAGCAGGGACGGGGTCAAACTGCGGTGAGGGCGGGGTTAAATGTGCCCACCTACTTTAGTCCCTGGCCCACCATGTGCCCCCCCTAAAAATGAATCCTAGAGACACCACTGTATGTCAGTCTGAATGAATGTATGTCTGTATGACATTATGAATGTATGTATGTATGGCTGTCAGTGTCTGTATGTCTGTCAATAATGTCTGTGGTATTTGGAGGCAGGCCCCAAGGGACCCAGACCCTGAGCTGAGTTAGGGGCCCCAAAATTTCTGGTGGCGGCCCTGCCCATGGATTATAATCACTAAGCTCTTTTAAGAGCTTGTTCCTGCTACTCTCTCTTGGAGGAGAGGTTCACCCACTGGAACCTGGAGCCTTGTCAGAGGACGGCGAGTTCCCAGCCAAGCTGCGGCAGTTTGTGGGATCTGCAGTGCTTATGGTGTCTGGTGCAGTGCTGATGGTCTTTGGTAAGCACTAGGAGCATCGATTGTCGGAGGGTGACACGTACACTGTATATTACACAGTCAGTATATGTATATGTGTATGTTACGTACACTCTATATTATGCAGTCAGTATGTGTATATTATGCAGTCTGTATATAGTATATACTCTATATTACACAGTCTGCATATCATGTGCTGTGTTTTCCTGATACATTATTTCTAAGCCTGTCTTTGAGGATGAATCGTGCGGAGATCTCTGTAGCTGGCCTGGTGTTTGATGGCGAGCTTGTTATTACTTTGTCTGGTAGCAGCTATTGAAGGGACTCAGTGGGTTGAGGACAGAATAGAATTGGGGTCAGCGTGGGGTCTAGCAGGATCTTTGCCCCCACTCTCTCTTGTTTTGTGCTGGCCTCGTACTGACAGGAGTTACTGACAGGCAGGGGAACAAAGGCAGCTGTCAGACGGGCAGACAGTGACAAGCCCTGAGCATCTGAATGAACAGACATGAGTGTTAGGCCTGAGATGGGGGTCAAGGGTCACCGATTCAGACTGCTCTTATCTTGTGATCTGTGCGGCCATTAAATCCTGGTATTACAGCGCGTTCCAACCACTGGACTCAGCAAAGCCAGTTCTCGTTCAATGTCAAACACTTCCTACTGCAGCTACATTCACTCCCTCTCACTGTCTGCCTTTCCACTCTCTCCCCACCATGTGCAGAGGAAGATATCGAAGACCTTTAGTGCAATGGAGGGTTAATAAGAAGGCTCATCCCTTCTACGGAGCTTCTTTAATTATAGCTATGTAAATGGGGCTTATCTCACTGCACTGGGAGCCCAATAGATGTGGAAGTAGTTGTGGTGGCAATCCGGGCACTGGAAGCCCTATAGATGTGTAAGTGGTTGTGGTGGCAGTCCGGGCACTGGGAGCCCTACAGATGTATAAGTGGTTGTGGTGGCAGTCTGGGTACTGGGAGGTGGGAGCCCTATAGATGTGGAAGTGGTTGTGGTGGCAGTCTGGGTACTGGGAGGCGGGAGCCCTATAGATGTGTAAGTGGTTGTGGTGGCAGTTCTACAACTGGGAGACGCTGCCCATTACTCTAGAGTATTTGTATATTACTCTAGAGTAATGGGCAGCGTCTCCCAGTGCTAGAACTGCCACCACAACCACTTACACATCTATACGGCTCCCAGTGCTCGGACTGCCACCACAACCACTTACACATCTATAGGGCTCACTACACAACCACAACATTGGTTGGATTCTGTAGCATTATGAGAATGATTGGTGGAAGCCATAGATCCCCCAGTTACTAGCCTTGGGGGCACTGGATCTGGTTTGTAGAAAGCATTCAAAGCACAGGGAGAGACACAGAGGTTAAAGGATAACAATGCACCAGCATTGAGCATTCTGGGGACATACAGGACAGTGGCTATGGGATGTAGTCTACACACTGAGACTATCTACAAATCTCTGAGCAAATCCCATTCAATGTGAATCTGGCCTTATCACATCAGACAGGCTTACATATTATTGACTAGCAATGCCACAGCAACCCCAGACCCCAGGAACCCTTCCCAGTAACTACGGCTGCCACGTGGTCACCACAAGGTCAGAATGGTGGCAGGGCTGATCCAAGGGTGCCTTCCATAACCTATCGATATAGAAACAAGATGTATCCTAAGATATCATTCTAAATCCAGCTCAGTCAACCAATTCCACAAGTAGAAACCATTAAAATATATTCCAATGGTGATATGTGGCTTATATAAATACATACAAGGTAATGAAATGCTATAATATATATATCAGGGCTAGACAAATTTGTTTGGAATCTAGGAGCCAGCTAAACAAGTTAGAGGCCAGTCATTTTCAACGAGTAAATGCAATTCTTAAAGGGACACCATAGTCACCAGAACCCCTACAGCTTAATGTAGTTGTTCTGGTGTCTATAGCCTGTCCCTGCAGGTGTTTTAGTATAAACACAGCCTTTTATGTGAAAAGGCAGAGTTTACATTGCTGCTTAGTAACACCTCTAGTGACATTCACTCAGACAGTCACTAGAGAGTCCTGGGTCACTGCTGCACCACATGCAGCACCCAGGTTCAGTATCTCCAAGCTCTGCATGGAGGTGCTGAATGTTCCTCGTAGAGATTCATTAATTTAATGCATCTCTATGAGGAGATGCGGTGTGGCAAACCTAGCCACTTCAGACTATTCTTTTATATATCTAAGGGTTGTCCTAGAAAAGCTGTTTAACCTATGTGATTTTATGTGTTCGCTTATAAAGGTGATAGAGGTGCATTCGTATGGTAGGGGCGTGAAAGCCGCTAGCATTCATATGCTAGTTTCACTAACAGTGACTTTCAACACTGTTCGTGAAACGAACAAAGTACTGAATGGGAGACCACACACAGGAGGTCGTGTGGCTCCCATTAACAGATTGCAACATTGTAGCGTTCCCCAGTTAATTGATTCGAGGGGTGGCCACCGTTCGGATACCGACCACGCGGTGGCGGCCATCTTGGATTCACTTTTAGCCCAGTGGTGTTTGGTCGCCGAGTGCCTGGAACTAAAATCGGCTACTTGACGGCACGAACATAGCTGGACTTCCAGACCATTCGGGAACACCGGTCTTTCGGTACTTTTCTTCAAAATGTGCATTCGTGTGTTTTATTGAGAATTCATGTTAAAATTAATTTTATGTGACGTTCGGCTGATTGTGCTGGGATCTGAGTGGTAATCTACCGAAGTATGCGCTCAGATCCCAGCTATCTACCTATAGGTAATTCGGTACAATAGCACGAATAATGTGCCAGTTATGTATTTTTGAGTGAAAAGCCCGGTTCTGCTGTACGGAGGGATAATCCACTTAACAGGATATCCTGTGGGAGTATCCCTCTCGTACAGCAGTGCATGGTGGGAAAAATGTCTTGCATGTTCAGTTCCCCATGTAGTCCCCTACTGTATAACCCCTGTAAAAGGACTAAGGAAACCCCTTGCATGGGGAACCACATAAATACTGGAGTATGTGAATAAAAACCTCAGTTGACTCCCAGAACTGTGTTTCGTCCGGTTACTGGGGGATTTGGGATATTGCCTTCATTTTAGCGCTTTTCTCGGATTACTGTCTTTTACCAGCGGAGATATTGTGATTTAATATTGCAGCTCTGCTACATGCGGATTGGTACATTTGCTGCGCATGCACAAAATCCTCCCAATGTTTCCTAAGGGAAAGCATTGGGGTAGCTGAGATCATAAATATTGATTATCTTAGCCATGGCGAAACTGTCACGGTGTGAGAAAATGGGGGGAAAAGGTGAGTAAAAACTATCGGAGGGGGCAGGTACCTAAACGCACACACACACTGACAGGCTCACATACACACTCACACTGACAACAGGCTTGCACGCACAAATTCTTTAAAGACTCGCTTGCACACACACACAGTCTCTTGACAGGCTCACACACTCTTGCGCTGACAACAGGCTTGCACGCACACACTCTGACAGACTTACACACACACACACACATGTGTTCACACATACACATACACACTCTGATAGGCTTGCACACACATACATACAGACACTGACAGGCTCACACACACACACACACTGACAGATTCTCACACACACACACTTTGACAGATTCTCACACACACACTCTGACAGGCTCACACACACACACACACACACACACACTGACAGGCTCACACACACACACTCTGACAGGCTCACACACACACACTCTGACAGGCTCACATACACACACACACACACTGACAGGCTTACACACACACACTCTGACATATCACACACACTCTGACAGGCTCACACACACACTGACACACACACTCTCACACACACACAGGCACACACACTGACAGGCTCTGACAGTTCACACACATGCTCTGACAGGCTCACACACACACACACACACACACACACCTGACAGGCTCACACACACACACACGACAGGCCCACACACACACACTGATCTCACACACACACACACTCTGACAAGCTCACACACACACTCTCCCACACACACTCTGACAGGCTCACACACACACACTCTCTGACAGGCTCACAAACACACACACTCTGACAGGCTCACACACACACCTGACAGGCTCCACACACACACTGAGAGACTCACACACACACACACACACACACACACACACTCTGACAGGCTCACACACACACACTCTGCAGGCTCACACACACTCTGACAGGCTCACACACACACTCTGACAGGCTCACAAATACACACACTCTGACAGGCTCACAAACACACACACTCTGACAGGCTCACACACACACACTCTGAAAGGCTCACATACACACACACTCTGACAGGCTCACACACACACACTCTGACAGGCTCACACACACACTCTGACAGGCTCTCTCTCACACATACACACATTTTTGTTTGAATTGAAACCCACTCAGCCTCCCTACCTTTGGGAGAGCTGAGAGGGTCTTTCCTGGGGTCCAGTGGGGCTGCTCTCTTCCTGTGTGCGAAGGAGCAGTACTCTGCCTGTAGCTGCTCTCTGCTCCCTCACGCTCTGTAATGATGCCGGGGCTGGAATGATGTCATATTCCGGCTCCGGCATCATTACACAGCGCAAGGGAGCAGAGAGGAGCTACAGGCAGAGAACTGCTCCCATGGGCGGCCGCCTGCAATATTCCCTGTGACGGTCGCTGCCACACTAATTAGAGAGCTGGCACATCCCAGACGCCAGAGCGAAATTTTTAGTCGCCTTGGCAACCTGGGATTCGTCGAGCCCTGATATATATATATATATATATTTATATATATATATATATAAATGTATAATATATGACACATACTGTTTTATCTTGAGGTATATCTCAAAAGGAAAAATCATCCCTAGACTATAGACCTGGTGTTGGCCTGGTGTTGACCAACAGCTGGATATAAAGCTCCTTGGGCGAGTGAATTTACTGCGAGGTTTAATCTACTTCAATCGTATGGACTTCAAAATACGTCAACCGTTACAGGGAGGACTAGGTCTCACAAATCCAACACGCTAAGTAAAAGTCAGAAACAGACAAGAAGAGAACGCAATGACAGAGTCTTACAATGATTGGGCTTCATGCAAACTTACATGGGAGAGAAAAAAAAGGCACACAAGAGGAACCAAGTATAGCCGAGAATAGGAAAACCACCAGAGCACTATAAAGACTATGAATCCATAAATCCATATAAAGAACACATTATAGGCTCATAAACTACAACATCCAACTACAGAGTCAATAGAAAAGAGATGAGCTTTGTGGTAATGCAACCATGATTTGGTAAAGCTAAAATTCATTTTTTCTTACGCACAGCGACAGCCAGGGACATTTGGTGTGATCCTTCGCTATTTGACTAGAAGAGAGAACACCTAGAGAGATGGCTGCATATGGAGTGCTATAAGGATGAAGTAAAATGGCAGAGGCCATGATGTATTCTTATATGGTTCTATCTATTGTTCGTAGACTTGGATATTCGTTTCCGTCCAAACTGCAGTTTGTCCGAACTTGGGCTAATCGAATGATCACCCGACCTCTGGAACTCTGACTCGAAATGTATTTGAAGCTTGAAACAACCGAAGCAAGCAGTGACTGAGCATGTTCGATTTGATTCATGATTCAGAATTCCGCCCAAAATAAGAGATGTCGGGGACAGTTACTAAATGCTGATTGTACTCATAGATCAAGTAAGAAGTGACTCGTAGAGGGGGAAAAGGAGATGCAGTAAAAAATATCAATATATTATAAACATGATAAATATCATATACATAAATATATACGTGTCATTTATATTTTTTTTCCTAATGGCAGGATTATATATAATATATATATAATAATAAATATATTATGGATATATTTTAAAGTACACAGATTAGTAATTTTCATGTCTTTTCGGTTGTCTGATTTGTGTTCCTCAATCTATTTTCATTAACAGAATTTGTCCAAGTCGAACCGCCATATTGCTGCCTGCAATTCATTGGTTGTTTTAGAGGGTCGGAGAGCTCTTCCATAGACTGTCTGCAGAATGATATATATATATATATAGAAAGAGAACCCAGATACCTCCAGTATCACTAACAGACCACGATTTATGGCTAGCCAAACA